TAATTATATTTTAGATTTTTTATATTTTAAAATAAGATGTTTATTCTTTATTTGATTATATTTATCCGCAATTAGTTATACGAATTCAAAAATCGAACTTTAATAAGTTGTATTTTTGCATAATTTACTTGTAATCTTGAATTTTAAGTAAACATTGGTTTTATATGGTTTTGAGAATGTGATAATATTTTTATTTTTGAATAAAATGTAAATTTAAAAATATCATAAAATTTTGAAAAAAAAATATCGATATCAATATTAAATTAATCTTTTTAAAAGTTCTTGTGTTTTTGTGTAATTTCCTTAATTAAATTCTGTTAGTTATCAATGATTATCATAATTATATTTTAGATTTTTTATATTTAAAATGATATATTTATCAAATATTTGATTATGTTTATCTGCAATTAGTTAGACGAATTCAAGTATGGAGCTTTAATAAGTTGTACTTATGCATAATTTACTTGTAATMTTAAATTTTAAGTAATATGCATCAATAAACAATATTTCGTGCATAAAAATTGTTTCTAAGAATTTTATCAAATGTTTTATAATATAATATAGATTATAGATATGGATTCAAATATATTTTTCTAAGTTCTTAAAAAGCATGGCAAATTGCATTAAAAGAAAATGTGCTTGTTTTAATTTCTATTTGAAGGAACGTACTTTCAAACGATACATTTAAGAGTTTATCACAAACTTTATAAACAAAAAAGGGTATCGGTTACCTGGAATAACAGGTAACCGTTTATTATAATGATGATGTGTCAATTTTTTTTGAATATGTACGGAGATGACATGACTTTTTTTGTTTATTATTATTATTATTATTATTATTATTATTATTTTTCTTCTTCTTGCTCAAGAACAACCACCGTCATTATGACTACCAACCACTACAACCACCACCTACCAACCATGATTCACACAAAAACATCAAAATTTTAATCAAACATTCAAACCTAAAATCGGATTAAAAAAACTTGAATCTAAATCTGAATATAAACAAGAAAACCCTAAACCAAAACATAAAATCAAGAGCGAGTAAAAAGAACCATAAAATCAAAACCTAAATGATCAGAAGTGAATAAAAAAAATATTACACGAATATCTTCAAATCGGCCGAACCACTATCACCCAGACTTGAATCTGGATCAAATCCTTAGGTTTTTGAATCAGGTCCAAAGATTTTCGAAGTAATTGTAAAGTCAGGAAGAAAAGGGGACAGAGGTTTTGTTGGATCTTCGTTGTTTTTTTAGGCGAAACCCAGGCTCTATTTGGATCTTCGTTTCTGATGTGGGTAAAACCTTGAGTTCGATGAACCTTCATTAGATTCCATGATCAGAGACTAAAAAACAAGAGAAATGAAAGCAGTGTTTTACTGGAGTTACAGGAGGGGAAGGCTCTCCAACGAGGGGCACAAGAGATTGTATATAATATTATAAAGGGCAAAATGCACAAAATAGCAATTTACTTTCATAAATTTATTTATTATAGCATTGTACTTTTAGTTTTTCTTATTACAGCAATGTACTTTCAAACTATTTTTTATTATGACATTGTACTTTGAAAAATTTACCCATTATAGCAATGGGTAACCTTTTGATTTAAATTTACCCATTATACTAGGTTTTCATGCCACCTCATTGTCCATGTAGGCTGTCCACATGTACTATAGTGATGTGACTTTCTTACTACATCATTGTACTTTCAAAATTATTTTATTATAGCATCTACTAGTTCTTAATAAACACTGTATTTTTAATTTTAATATTTAGATATTTTACATGTTATTTAATAAATGTATTAAATGAATTAAAAAAAATTAAATTATTCATTAATATACCAATATCAATAAAACTAGTAGAACACAACTTATCTCGCTAACATTTTAAAAAAAAATATGTGTTTTTTGAAAAAAAAGAAAATAAGAATTGTTCTCTTTTACCAAAAAATATTATCTTTTAAAGAATATATTATATTTGTTCAAAAAC